TATTTAAAAAAAAAAAAAAACTACATCTTGAATATATATTGTATTTCTCAGCATAAAGAAGTAAAGAAGAGGGAAAGAAAGCGGGGGGAGGAGAAAGACAAACAAAGACCCTTTACGAGAATCAAAACACAGAACACAAACCCTGACTCCGTGTGAATCATTTTTTATCAGCCAGCATTGATTTTCATTCAATCTCTGAGGTTGTCACCAATCAGCCACCTTACACAATCCCAACAAATACAGTGTTTGTTTTATTTGGCCCTCAGCCCCAGGCTTTCAGCTTTCATCTCCCGTTAGACCTCACCGCTGTTAGTGTGGCTAGGTTCAACTTTGGATTTCATATGTGAGGCAGCGCATCCAGCCTGAGTGGTGACTGTGGATGTACTGTGCAAGAACTACATATGCATGTGAAAGCACTGCATGTATGTACATGTACACAGTGGACTGTTCCTTGTGGACTTAGTAACTGCTGGACAGGTGTGGATGGTCTGAGGCTCAGTATTGGCTGCTCCTGGCTGGAGGGAGGCTCCACGCCGTGCAGTGTGATTGAACCGGTGAACTGAACATAACTGAAGACCTTTTCAGATTAAATGCAGGGTAGTGCTTGTGGTTGATGCAGGAGATCTCATACAAATTTAATACTCTACGATCGTATCCTTAATTGGTTGAGCTCAACTAGCATCTACTTGATGAAAGTTGTGTTGTAATAAAACCAAGAAGAGAAAGAGACAGTGCCTATTTGGCTTACACACGTATGCAGAAAAACTGCACCTTTAAATTTTCGCTCGAACTGAAAATAGTTATGAAATATTACTTGATATTGTGACTCCTGGGTATATTTCAAATCAAATAACAGAGCATAAACCATACAAATTCTCTGTCTTCTCGTATTAATCTTGAGCTGAAGTTCAGGACTACTCACTCGTAAGTGTTTAGTAGAAAAATGTGCACAAAACCTATTCAGAAAACTGCAGCTTTACCCTCATGTCACTGGACCCCTGTTGACGTCATCATCACAATTTTATACAGGGACCCTCTCTAGGTGGTAGACTAAGAATATGACCTAAAATCTGCCAGCTCAAAACGTGTCCAAACCCTATGAAAAGAGTTAGATAATCAAAATTAAAGAATAAACCGCTCAATGAAGTTATCATGACGAATTGATTACAGGATCATCCTTGGATGAATATCTGAGTGCCCTCTGAGTCTGAAGTCTACCAGATTTAGTAAACTGTCAAAGTCGATTGGTATGAGAAAAACATGTAAAAACTCTATGGAAAAAGATAAATATTCAAAAATCAAAAAGAACTCACGCGATGATGGCATCAAAACGAATAGTTGTCTAAAGGTCTGCCAAGTTTGAAATAACTCGTATGTATCGAACAATCGAAGTCGACTGGTGAAGAAAAACATGTACAAACTCTACGGGAAAGAGTCAGAAAGAGTCAAAGAAAAAGTAGAACTCTGTGCGTTTGTCTCAGGGACGAAACACAGGAATGTTTCGTATTTTGAGGTTTTCAAACAACAAACAAACTGTCGAAGAAACCCATGTTAATAAACTTAAAAGGAAGTCTGTCCTGTTCACGTGCTGCAAGGTTTCAACCCAAGCAGACATGAAATCCACGAGATGTAGTGCTTTGAACAGCGAACCTTTAATGTCACGTGTTTGACACATGATGACGTCGTCATCATATAAGGCCAATGCTCGTCTAACGCACTCCTAAGATATCTGCAAAGTTTAAACTCAATCTGACATGTACTTCACGAGATATAGTGCTTTGAAGAGTGCACATTTAATGTCACGTGACTTGTCCCCATATGATGTCATCAACACATCAAGTCAATTTTTGTTTGAAGCCCTCCCCTTAGTTTTGTGCAAGGTTTGAACCCAATCCGACATGCACAATACAAGATACAATAAAAACATTGGCGTTCCATATAATGCGATTTGCTATCAACACCAAGTGCTTGGCAATTTTCCAACTGCTGAGTATATGCCTTACGAACTGTGCGCTGACTATGCTACACGCAGATATTGCGCGTCCACGCACACAGTAGCCAAAGCACAGTATGGAATGGGATTTTCGAGTTCTCAAACATTACAAGGGGGGTTTTGTCATCGGCGATTCATCTGTGTGAAGAGGTTCACAAGTTGTGCACTTTATGCAGTTGACTTCAATGTTTTAGCCATCATGTAATGGACCAGTCATGCTTAAAACTGTTATGGTGGATTTGTTAGTGAATTTTGAAGAATAAAATGACGTTTTATCATAATTCAGGTCTGATGATGTTATCGGTCTTTAATCTCACACATGTTTTAAGTGAGTAAATGGTAAATATCATCATCTACATCAGTTTTCAGGCGATTCGGACAAACTTCGCCGCAGACATCTATTCGAAATGCAGTTTTCAGAATTTTTTACCTGCCGCTAGAGGGCACTCGACAATTACGTGACGTCATCAGTAGATGATTTGAAGAATACTATACCCAACCGACTAACAACGTTCAAACCAACTTGATACATACTACCAGTTTTAAACGATAAGCCCACTTCCGGTTTGACCGGAAGGAAGGGTCATGTGATTTCACCCGCGCTATTTGAATTGAAGACCCAATATTACTCTAGCACTCGCTGCAAATAGAATGCTGCGGGAGACCATGGTTGAGTTTTTAAGGATTTTAAGATTAACATAATATTTAAATATTCAAAAATTAACATATCATTTGGTGAGGTTATCATGACGTAATTATTTTAGTATTATCTTTGCATCAAGGTTTTGTTTTGTGTAACATTGATGAAAACTGAAGATCGCTAAGTTACCAAAATTGTCCCTTGAAAACATGTAGAAAGTCAATGGGCTGAAATAAATAATAACAATTCAGTTAATCATTTGATGACGTCAACTTGACGTCATTTTTCTATGCACATCTTTGTACTGAGGTTTTTCATTGATGTAACTTTGATGAAGATCCAAAGTTGCAAAAGGACCAAAGTTGATGGTGGAAAAAATGTGTTCAAAACAAATGGGCTTTTGGTCAGAAGAGAAAGAATGAAGAAAAACTGAAGGACGTATATGCCTTAAGGACAGAGCCAATGGCTTTTTCGCATTGTCTTTTTTTTTTTAAAGAAAAGGGCATTGCTTCATTTGAAATACTACTGGTATCACATTTGGATTTCTCACTTCCTTCCATCTATCCAAGAGGTCCCAAAGTTTCCATCAATATTTTTGTAACCTCATCGATTGAATATTGGAAACCTTTCGGACATTAGGAGATATAACGAATTACAGTTTGCTATCTTTATATCATGCCACCTTGTCTATAACACTTCCCATTCTGGCTATCTACAAAATTTCAGCCCAAAAGACATGTAGTTCACGAGATAGAGGGCTGTAAAATATGTACCTTTAATATCACGTGACTAGTCACATGATGGAGTCCTTACCACATTAGTCAATGTTTGTCTAAAGCTCTTCCCTTTTAAGGTTATCTAAGATGTTTTGACGTGTACCCCATGAGATATAGTGGTTTTAAGAGTGCATCTTTCATGTCACATGACTTGGCACATGATGACATCATCAGGAGACAAGTCACATGACATTAAAAGTGCACTACTTAAGGCCCTATATCTCCTGAAGCACATGTTCTATCTGGTTGAAGCTTTGCAGATAACTTAAAAGGGAGGTATTATATACGAAAAGTGACTTGATGTGATGATGCCTTAGTTGTTCAAATGTACAAAAGAATGCGAAAAAGCCCTCCGTTCTGTTGAAACCAGACAGATTAGCTCTCGCTGGCTTTTTCGCAACTTTGCCTTAGTAGTCGTTGATCGCCGTCAAACTTGCAACATGTACACACTAAGAAACAAAGATAATTCTGAATTATTTATGTCATGATGACATCATCACGTGATTCATCATTAAATTTTGAATATTTAAATATTCCGTTAAATTTATAAAAATCCATATAAAATCGGCCCTGGCCTCCCATAACATTCTGTTTGCAGCAAGTGCCACGATAAAATGCGGTCTTCAATTCATCTCGTGTTCGTTAAATCACGTGACCCTTCCTTCCCGTCGAAACCGGAAGTGGCCTTATTGTTTAAAAGTGGTAACAGATATCGAGTTGTTTTCAACGGTGTTAACCTGCTGGGGTATAGTATTTTTCAAATTATGTACTGATGACGTCACGTAATTGTCGAGTGCCCTCTAGCGACAGGTTAAAATTTCTGAAAAATGAATTTTGAATGGATGTCTGTGGCGAAGTTTGTCCGAATTGCATGAAAATTGATGTGCATGACCATCTTTACCCAGTCAACACGTGTGAGAAGTTTGGGGCTGATGACGTCATCGGACGGGAAGTTAATAATAAAAACTTCTTTTATTCTTCAAAATTCGGTAAAAAATCAACCATAAGCGTGAATTGTGCACGAGATCAGCTGCATGAAGTACACAACTGGTGTACTTTTTTACACACGTGAAGCGCCGCCGACAAAACCCCCTAAAATATAAATTGCCAACTCGAAAATCCCATTAGCATGCTGTGCATAAGCTACTGTGTACATGTGTGGACGCCCAATATCTGCCTGCAACATAGACAGCGCACCGTGCGTAGAACATTATCCTCGGGACTTGGCAAAATGCCGCCACGTGCTGCTGACCGCAGATCGCTTTGTATGGAACGTCAAAAGGGACAAATGTTTAAGATACCTAATTTCTTGCCTTTTCTGCGAAAAATATAATGTTTAGTATTGAATATTGTATTGTACATGTCTTATTGGGTTGAAACCCTGCAGGTAGTTAGGAAGGGACAGTTTTCAAATGAATATTGACCTCACGTGATGACAATACCAACAGCAGGCTAGTCACGTGACATTAAATAGTGCCTCATTTAAAATACTATATCTTTTGAAGTGCATATCCAAATTGGTTCAAATCTTGCAGATATCTTAAAAGGGAGTGCTTTACAGGAATTTTGACCTCATGTGATAATGACTTCATCAGGAAACAAGTCACGTGACATTAAAGGTGCACTCTTTAAGGCCCCATATTTCCTGAAGTACATGTCTGATCGGGTTCAAATCTTGCAGATATCTTGAAAAGGGAGTGCTTTAGAAGTATACTGACCTAGGAGACAAGTCACGAGACATGAAAGGTGCACTGTTTAAAGTCCAATATCTCCTGAAGTACATGTTCTATCAGGTTGAGACTTTGCAGATAGCTTAAAAGAGTGGTGTTATATACCAAAAAAGACTTGATGTCATGATGCCATGACTCATGATAGTTGTTCAAATGTACAAGAATGCGAAAAAGCCCTCTGTTCTGTTGGCAAACGGACAGATAAGCTCTCGTTTCTTCTTTTTTCTTCTGCTGCAAATCCCCTTTGTTTTGTACACGTTTTTTGTAGCCCCGATTTTATTCCTTTTGCAACCTTTGATGTTCATCAAACTTATACCAAGGAAGAACCCTAATGCATAGATGGTCCCTGAAATCTGACGTCATGATGACGTCATCAAGTGATTTATTATTGATTTGTACATATTTATTTTAGCCCATTGACTTTGCACAGGTTTTCAAGGCATAATTCAGGTTACTTTGCGATCCTCAATCGTCATCAAGGTTACAGCCGGCGAAGGTCATAATTCAAAACATTGCCTAAATAATGATGTCATAATGACGTCATCACCTCGTTTTATATTGATTTTTTAATGTTTAATTTTTTCCCATATGTTTTGTACACGTTTTTAACAGCCAGACCTCGATACCCTTTTAGGTCTGACTGGTTATATATTAGGTACTTGCTTTTAGCTAGAAAGAAAATCGTCACAATGACGTCATTATGTGTGACGTGACTAGACGTTTAATCTTTTAACTTCAAAGTCTCATATATCCTGAAGGAAATGTCCATTTGGGTTCAAATCTGGCAGATATCTTCAAAAGGGGTCGCTCTAGAGGAATAGTGACCTTACGTGACGATGACGTTATCAGGAGACAAGTCGTGTGACATTAAATGTAAACTCTTTAAGGCGCTATATCTCCTGAAGTAGATATCCGATTGGGTTCAAATTTTGCGGATATCTTGACTAACAGACAGGGGTTTAGATCTATTCCCAAGAAAATTTATTAAGACTGCATTCATACTCAAGGGACCACAGGTTACATAA